AGCTCTGAGTGTGACAGCAGTGTGCTGGCCAGCCTGGCTGTGGGAGACCCTTGGCCGGGATCCGCCCTGCCAGGGAGCACCGCAAACTTCCTCTCCTCGATGCTTGCACTGGTGCCTCCTGGTATTCCTTCCTCTCATTGTTCAGCTTTTGTTTATAGGAAGCCTGACACAAACGAAAACACTACAGGGACGTCAGGGAGAAAATTCCTGCAGGCACATGCTGTTCTTGTCCCCTTTCCACTCCCACCCCACTTCTCGGGCAGTAGACACTTCCCTAATTACCTCAGGGCTCCAGCTCTGGGATTCTGGGGCCAAAAGGAGTGCAGGGGGCCGATCCCAGATGCTTACCTGGGTGCTGGGCCCGGTGCAGGTGGAGATGGCCTTCTTCCTGGGCCCCAAGTCACTGTCCTATATCCCTAGAGTGGGTGCAGTTAGGAAAATCCCACAGTCAGAAAAATCCCAAGGCTTACACTCTCCTTTGGTTTAATTCATTACTAATGGAGTATTTATTAAGCACCAGACCACACTCTTGGGGGATTAGATGCAGGCTAGCGTAGTGGGAATATCATCTCAGAGGTGGGTGTGCATCCAGAATCCTCATCTGCCAGGACGGTGAGCTTGAGTAGTTAATTTATCAGAACCTCGTTTTATTCATCAATAAAATGCAAGTGATAATAACCATTTCCTAGGGGGTTGTGACAATACGTTATGATGATGTAGGGGAAGTTTTACTGGACTTGACTACAAAAATGGTAGATACTGTCATCAGGAAAGGGCGTGTAAATGTGTAGCCGTGCATCTCCAGGGTTGGGTTTCTTAGGCAAAGCTGGACAAAGGTATAGTTCATAACTCTCCAATTTAATCTTATTCCATGGTTTGAACTATAATGTAACTTGGAAGAGTTTTTAACTAAGTAATTAATCAATTAATTTCCTAAAGATTTGAATAGTATGGAGCATTGACATAATAACTCAGAAATACTTGTAGGTTCTTTTGGGTTGTATGGATTGCCTGTGTGTGTGTGTGTGTGTGTGTGTGTGTGTGTGTGTGTGTGTGTGTGTTGGGGGGTGTGCTATGTGTGAGTGGTGGGGGATCCTGGTTTTCATTCTAGTAGCCTCATTTAGAAAAATACCTATTAGGCCAGTTAAAGGCAGTTTCATCCCACCCTCCTGGTGGTCTAGATTCATGACCTGGCTTAAAAAGGCTTTCCTGTCCATCTCCTTATCAAGTTCAGAGAGATGGGGCTGGTTACTTTCTGAACATCCCTGACACCCTAGTGATCCATTAATGTGGTTGCCCGAGTAAATGATATGTGCACTCATTTATTTCAGCTTAACTAGAAGGAAGGATTTTTGGTTTTGTTTTGGCTCTGATGGTTTGGGATTCTCAGTTGAGGACTGTAAATTTAGGGTAATTAAGGCCACAACACTTCTTTTTTTTTATGCTCCTATCTGTGATCCGCTTTTGCAATTGCATCTAAATATTTTCAAGGCTACTAGATGATACTGCAGCTATAGAGATAGGGAGATGCGAGCACTCATTCTTTTCCTTTGAGGGGCATGAGACTGGGTCCAACCAAGCACTGGCTGACTTGTTTGTGTTTAAACATTTAAGAGGCAGAGCGGGATGGGGCAGCGGAAGGATGAAGGATTTGGAGTGTGACATCTTGGGCACCTGTTAACTTCCCCGAACCTCAGTTTTCTCATCTGCTAAATGGGGATGTTAACTCCACAAAAGGTTTGTCAAGGATTAAATGATACATAGATGAGGTTAAATAGCTTTCTCAAGGTCACATAGATATAAAATGTTTAAAATAGGCTGGCTTTCTTTTCTTTGGGCGAGTTGACATTATGTAGTTAGAGCATGTGATCCTGAAAGGGGTGAAAAAAGGAGATTTTGGTTCTGATGTTATAAGGAATTGGATTCTGAGAACCATATCTATGCACTGCTGTGCACATACCAACACTCAGCTTGCTCTGACTTGGGGTTTCAGGGACAGGGGGCAGATCTGGGGGCACTGAATTTGTAGATTTGTTATCTGCATCACATAAATGTTCCTCTTTGCTCCCCAACGTACCAATCCCCCTCCCTGTAATGAAGAAAAATAACAGATTAGAACAATTCTTTCACCAAAGATATAGTACTTGAGAGTCTTATGTTTGAAACTTTGAGTGCTATGCCGTAAGGTGGGTTTAATCTTTTAAAAGTCCACTTTAGACAGATGGATAACATCTTGTGGCCAGTGGCAATGTTAAAAGGACACTTCGTGTTTTGAAAAAGAAAGCCCAGATCTTAATGTGGCAGATTTGAAGAAGCTGGCTTATAAGATTATTATCGAATTGGTTGCTTAGCTGTTCCACAGAAGGAAAAGGAAATAGCTCAAAATTGTATTCCCAAGACTATTATTTACTCTTGGAAGAAGGAGTGCTGATAAAGAAAATGAAATGGGCCAATACCCTTTCTACCCCAACTGGAATTCTGGGCAGTATATGCCATACTCCATTTGGAAAGGCATTAACTCCATGAAGCTCGTGGTAACATAGGTCCTGTTTATTTCCCAGTTCTGGAGAAATCAGGAGTAGTCGTGTGTAGTCAAAAGGAAATATTTGCAGTTGGAAGTTCATTTGGAAATGGAAAAGAACATGGCTTGAACTTCCTATGAAATGCCAGGATTCAACTAAATGTAGAATAATTTTTGAAGCTTAGAAAGATTAATTTTTTAGTGTTCTTTTCTCCGAATATCCACAGCTTCTGATTTCCCTTAAAGCATCAGTGTCAACAGATCATTTATTCCCTTAAAACCGTGGACTCCAACCTCTCAGGGGCTTACTGAAACAAGAGTAAGAAATCCTTTCTCAGTAGCTGGGGCTATATCCTGTTTTGGCCACTGACCTAGGGCTTTAAAAGGTTGGTCAGTCCATAAACATATATTGTTTCCTGTACGCAAGGCACCATGCCAGGCACGTCAACTACACACACAAAAAAGACTTTGGAATGGACTCTGTCCCCCGAGAAGCTAAGACATCTACATTTGAAGAAAAAAACGATGATGCCCAGTAAGTTCTCCAGCTAGTGTCTTACAGGCAGTAAGCAGTGGGTGGGAAAGTTACTTCGTTCATTCATGTATGCCTGTTGCTGCTGCAAGCAGTGGCTGTTCTAGTGCTAGGGGAGACTTGTCAGAGGAATCTCTTCTCTTAGGCAAGTTCATATGTGGAGAAGTTAGATACAATCAGGGTTCATAATTAGCTGATGTAGGTGGAGCTAAAGGTGGAAAGGTGAGAGGAAGCCTTCCCGGCTTGGCCAAAGGGTTTATTCATTTTCCTGGTGAAGGGGAAGTGCTGGGCTGCCGCAGGAGAGACATAACATTAAGGGGGTGATTTTGAAGAGCATTCTGGCCAAGGAGAGCTTGGATCCGGTGGGCGAGGGAAACTCGAGGATGGGGCGGACCAAGGCAGGGAGGCCAGATGGAGGTGTTTGGAAACGGCCAGGCCTGAGGTCGGAAAGTGGCAGTGAGAAGCGAAAGAATAGACGGGCATCAGAAACATGGAGACGGAGTAGTCAGGATGCCAAGAGTTAGAATCAGAGTTGGAACCACGCTGCACAAGATCCTCTTCTTCCTCAGGCTTTGAAAATGACTCCCATCTTAGACCTCGAGACTGTTAGGAGGTGCAGGGTGTGGTTGTTTTATAGTTTATTTTCTCACAAGTAGCAGGCGAGCTGTTGGAGCGAATCTGAGTTTAAGGGGATTGAGTGTCCACTCTGAGTGCCTCTAGTTCTGGGTTGGATGACCAAGTCACAAGACCAGGGGTCTTCCGGCTTTGTAAAGCAGGGGAGATCTTAGGTAGCAGCCCCGTAACTGCCCCCGGTCCATCGCCACCAAATCAATAAGTGTAATAAGTGCCACAGAGGTGAAATCGAAGAGGTGATGGTAATGTACAAGGTGACCTCCTTTAGATAGGGGGGTTGTGGTCAGGGACGGCTTCTTTGGGGAAGTGACTTATGAAGTGAGACCTTTAGGTTGTACAGAAGGTTAGGGGAGTACATTCCAAGTGAAAGAGGGGAAGGGCTTGTTCCTTGGGCCCTGAAACCGGGCCATTGTTGGTGTGGCTCAGTGCATGATGTGGGGGTGGGGGGTAGGTCTCACCCCCTCCGCTGCTGCCATGTGTGCAAGCCGCTATCGTCTCCCTCTGCCCGGACTAGCCTGGTGGCCTCCTCGTGATCTCTCCTGGCTTTTACCTTATCTTGTTTCCCTTTCTTCTATCCACCGCCCACCTCCATCAGTCTGTTTTCTGTACTGAACTACGGTGGTTCTTTACAAAATGAACCCTATCCTCACTCCTATCCTCAGGTCTCCAACAATCCAGAGTCCTCGTGGCTGCCAAGGCCCAGCATTACCCAGCCGCAATACTCACCCCCTTGGGCCTCATCTCTCCCACCTCCTCTCCCAGCTCTGCCCCCTCGCTCCCTGTGCTGTAGGAACACTGGCCTCACTGTGACGTCAGCCACATGTGTCTCAGGGCAAATACTTGCCCTTCTCTCTGCCTGGGATCATTTTCCCTCAAACATTTGCTCCATCATTTCTCCCAGGTCTTTGCTCAACTGTTCTCCTTTGTCGGTGAGGTGCCTTCTCTTAAAGAATAGTATTCTTTAGCCTAGTTTAGTTTTCTGCCCAGCACTTACCACGACATGGTATTGTGCTCTATACTGGCCTTTTGCCAGTCTTTCCCACCAGAATGAAATCTGACATTTGACATCCACCATAGGATGTCAAAGTCTTTGCCGCGGCCACTGATACGTCCCTGGCACCTGGACTGATACCTGGCACATAATAGATGCTTACTAGACACTTGTGACTGAATGAGTGGACCACCATTTTTGCAGGAGAAATAGACCGGGTTAAGAGGATTGGGGGTCTTGGGAGACTTGGATTTTGCACTTTATCCTAAGGGCAGTGAGGTGCTTTTAAGCATGTTATGTATGGGAGTGACAAGATGAGCGAAATGTCAGAGGTAAGGTCCAAGAGACCCGTTTAGCTCAGAAGTGAAAGGTGAGGGAGAAGGAGAAGCTGGCATGACCACAGGTTCTTAGAAAGGGCAGCAGGATGGGTGGAGGTGGCATTTGCTGAGAGGTGCAATTTGGGGAGGAGAGCTTGGCTATGACACAAGAGCTTGGTGTTGCTTGTGTTTCATGTGGAATGCCTGGGAGACATGCAGTGGGTACAGGAAGTAGGGCTTGGGGGTGCAGGATGGAAATGCCACTAGAGGGCAATTGTGCTGGTCCCCTGAGGGAATGGGGCCATTCCTCCCATGTCAAGGGCTGAACACCAGGCAGTGCATATTTGTGCTGATGGAAGGCCTGTTGCCTCAGAGCTTTTAAGCATTTCACCGGTCACAGCAGCCATTTTCTTCCTTGACGGCAGTATAGGGGGTCCTTGGTTTTTACTAGTTTCTTGTTAATTAACTGACTGCTCCCTAAATACTGACGGGATGGCCTTGGGCAAGTGAAGCTTAGTGAGGGCCAGTCGCCCCCTCTGTAAAAGAACCATAATAATCATTATCGCCCCAAGTGTTTGGTGAAAATTTGATGACAGGATGCAAGTAACCATTGGGTAGGGGGCATAACCCATGCCCGTTATTGTTATTGTTATGCAAGGCTACAGGTCATCAGCTTCCTCTCCTCTTCTCACCTCCTCCCCTAACATCACAGAGAATCCGCCAATTCCAGCCTCCCTCCCTGCAGGTCTGAGCCTGATGATGCCTCAGATGTGCACCTCCCTTGAATGGTTGTGTCTCTCTCTTCAGGATATCAACCAGAAGCTCCAGGAGGACAACCAGGAGCTGAGAGACCTCTGCTGTTTCCTGGACGATGACCGGCAGAAAGGCAAAAGGGTGTCCCGGGAGTGGCAGAGACTGGGCCGCTACACGGCTGGGGTGATGCACAAGGAAGTGGCCTTATACCTGCAGAAGCTGAAGGAGCTGGAGGTGAAGCAGGAGGAGGTGGTGAAGGAGAACATGGAGCTCAAAGAGCTCTGTGTGCTGCTGGATGAGGAAAAGGGCGCGGGCTGCGCGGGCAGCCGCTGCTCCATCGACAGCCAGGCCAGCCTGTGCCAGCTCACCGCCTCCACGGCGCCCTACGTGCGGGATGTGGGCGACGGCAGCAGCACCTCCAGCACCGGCAGCACCGACAGCCCCGACCACCACAAGCAGCACGCGAGCAGCGGCAGCCCGGAGCACCTGCAGAAGCCCCGGGGCGAGGGCAGCCCAGAGCACTCCAAGCACAGGAGCACCAGCCCCGAGCATCTCCAGAAACCCAGAGCCTCCGGCACCGCGGATCACCCAAAAGCACTCAAAGGACCCAGCCCCGAGCACCACAAACCCTTGTGCAAGGGCAGCCCCGAACAGCAAAGGCACCCACACCCCGGGAGCAGCCCCGAGACGCTGCCCAAGCATGTGCTGAGCGGGAGCCCGGAACACTTTCAGAAACACAGGCCTGGGGGCAGCCCTGAACATGCCAGGCACAGCGGAGGGAGCCCCGAGCATCTTCAGAAACACGCCCTCGGTGGGAGCCTGGAGCATCTACCCAGACCCAGGGGCACCAGCCCCGAGCACCTCAAACAGCATTATGGGGGGAGCCCTGATCACAAACATGTGGGCGGAGGCAGCGGCGGAGGCAGCAGGGAGGGCACCCTCCGAAGGCAGGCGCAGGAGGACGTGTCACCCCATCACCGGAGTGTCTACAGTGGCATGAACGGTGGGTCAGTACGTGCCGGGGAGCTGCCTTGGCTGGGACAGCTCAGTAGAGAGTTATGAACCGTGAAGGGCTTTCCAGCCACATTAGGAAGTGCAGGCGCTGGACGGGGATGGGCTGGGGAGAGGAGTCTCGCTGTCTTTCTTCCCTTCCATTTGTTGTAGTTTGTACAGTTATCAGTCAAATAAGCCTGGAGAAGAACAGAGGATGAGGAGTTAGGGGAAGGAGAGGAATGATAATTCCATGGGACCCTGAGTGGTCAGGAGATGTGTGCCTATTGAAGATAAACAGAGAACCAAGCTAAAGTTCTTCCATCTTAAACTTGAATGTTTTTCTAGTTGTGTGCAGTTTCCTGCTGGGGTTCTCATCCAGCCGCTGACCCAGAGTGGTTTTGAATCCCCGTTAACAGCTTATGTGCATAAAGAAATGAGTATTTATTATGAAAAACAGTAACATTGAAAAAGAAATACGGTGTCCCCAAACAGGCTTGGGGCCATGTTTTCTGAATGCCTATAGATCTTACTTTACCTGGAGAATTTTTTTCCTGTTGGTTGCATGAGAAACACATCAAATGATTTCCCTCCATGCTCTAAAATCTCTAAAATCCCCGCCAGACTCCCCTAAACGTACTTTGAATAGCATGCTCTTTTACACTGTGAGGTGGCCTCCCCAATTTTTTAAACGTTCCTCTTTAAAAGGTACTGATGTATTTAGACTCTCCTTTGGTTTTCAAAGCGTAACATCCACTGCATTTGCAGAGGTGGCTCTAAACCTGACCCTAAACCTTTTTGGAAGAGGTTTCATTTTCTGCATCTTGGTTCTAGAATCACTTTGAATTCCAGAGAGGAAAAAAAGTTGTTTCTGAAAACACACACACAAACAAATAAAACCAAAATGCCCTCCCAATCCTTTTATGTTACTTATGGTTGAGGTAGAACTAAAATGTTTGGTTTTATAAACTGTGGGGTTTTTTTTCCATCCAAAATACCTGAGGTTTTTTGCTTTATTTGAAAGCTGCTACAGAGTCTCCGTGCAGTGAGCTCTGAGCAGTGGTGGACATGGCCAATAGTAGCAAGTGACATGAAGGGGTAAATTTTCAATACTGTACCTGGGGATTTACCTGTTGGATCCCATTTTATCCTAATCCTTTTCTCCTAGTGCTGAAAATTGAGTCCTGAAGCTTGGCTTCTAATGCATCCAGTGTTCTTTTAAGTGCAAATGGAATGGAAAGCGTGGGGAAGATGAAATGCTGCTGCTTTCTGGGTTGGGTTGTAAGGTGGAAGCTGGGAGAAGCCACCTCTGGGTGCTGAGGCCTCCTGGCTGGCTGGCCAGGGCTCTTACTCTGTAAGTTGCTCCTTCCCCTCGCTCTTTCCAGGACCGACCCAGATGCTGCCCTGATTGCTGTGGGCAGCCTTGGCTGTGCACTTCTCACAAGAGATGAAAGTCATTTAAAAAGATTTCTTAGTTGTGTTACCGTGGTGAGGTAACACAATAGTGGCTCAATGGTGAGCCATTGGCCAGGAAGCTTGTCTTCAGGGAGTAATGGGTTAATGGGAAGGTCAAGTTAATGGCTTTTCCATTTCTCAATTACTTTTTAATGAGCATGAGAAGTAAACATGTGCACTATTTTAGGGAAACTCTGTATCTTGACCCTCCCCCCCCCCCCCCCCCCCCCAAATTACTTGGAGGCAGGTAGTTTACTTAGGAAACAATTCTTTTCTTTCCCAGTGTGCTCTTTTAAATAAAGAATTCTAGTTTAATGAAGGCACGAATTAACTCACAAGAAGAGGTTTCAGGTGCAATTTTTAAGCAATGCCTTGCATAAAGTAAGGTATATTTCTAGATGTGGATGACATCACACCATGGTTTATTATTGCCCGGATTCAGATAAACTTCATGGTCCGGCAAATGATTTTTAATATTTAACCATTTTATTTAGTTAAAAATTTGATGTGACATAGATGCAGTATTTAGAGTAACACTGTATTTAATTCTTATGTTTACTTCAGGTTTTCTCATTCTTATGTGAGTTATCTTCTGACAATTGATATCCTTACCAAAGTATATTTGTAGTGCATTTGCAGTGCATTTTTATTTCAATAATTAGTTGGAAAATAAGTGGCACATCGAGATGTTTATGGATCGTCAGCCTATAAACTTGGGCATTGGTAGCTTGAATTTATCCTGCTGTTACAAATTAATTTTTGATATGGATGGTAAGACATGACTTTTCATATTCTTAATCCCTGCACACTTTGGTTGAATCATTGGCATAGAAACAAGTAGGAACCATTCACAAGGTAAATCCCAAATTGCAGATCTGCTGAGTCATTTATAGAGTCATTCTGTTTGGAGTTGGTGTGAGATAATGAGTGTTTTGGGTGAGCACTTGTGATGAGGTTCTGGGGTGGTGGGGAGTTCCCCAGCCAAGGGCCAAGAAAGAATTCTTGAAGACATCTTTGGTGCAAAAAGGGGATTTTATTAAAGCACAGGGACAGGGCCCGTGGGCAAGAAAGAGCTGCACTGGAGTTGTGAAGAGTGACTGGTTATTATACTATGGAGCTGGAGACGGAAAGGCAAATGGAAAATTTCCAAAGAGATATTCGTATGCTAAAGAAGACTCAAGGATACTGGAGGCCTAGCTATTGTCAAGCTAAGGTTGTTTTTCCCTCTAGCAAAACATTAACATTAAGACAGTAGGGAGTTCCTGGAGCAATGTTCTACTCTATATTTGCCTCAAGTATTTGCTGCAGGTTATAGAGAAATATAATTTTACCTGCCATTTTCTTCTTGCCTTTGTTCCCCAAATCACTATGGAAAGGTGATGTGGGGGCTCCTGGAAACTGAGTCTACAGGTTTCTGGAGATTAGGCTATTGATAAGATTGCCTTTTTTCTTGTAATTTACTAAGATATTTGTAAACTGATGGAGACCCATGTCCTGCATGACTGTGATCTTTATCAGTTAACCATTTGTTTTCTTTCCTTTCCTTTGTTCTTGGGCAGCCAGGACTGCCTGAGGAATATCACACATATGCCACCTCGGGGGAGGGATGTGCTAACTTGCACTCTGCCTTCAGCCTGCATTATGCTTCTTTATCATTTGCATGTTTTTGAAGAAAAAGTAGTAGGTGAAAGCAGGTGGGAAGTGTGTCTTCATTATGGCAGAATGCAACCGAAATGAAACGTAATGCAGAATATTGTCCTACTTGTAACCTTCCCTCCAAAAGACACACATACACATGCTAATGGAACATCAGTGAAAACAATTACTTTACTGTTTCATTTAACAGTGCCTTGGACATCTTTACATCTTATGACAAACTCAGTGAACCCAGTAGTTGATGAACTTGGTATCCAAGAGGTTCCTTTGGTTAAGACAATTAATTTAAATTCCAACTGGATACAAAAATGAATTTTGGGGATTTTTCCTCTCTTAAAAATATCCAAGACTATATAGCCGTGTTTAAATTAGATGATTGAAAAACAACAAAAGCAAAGACAAAACAAAAAAATACCTCATGAATGCATTTACTTTTTTAGAAGTTCTTTATTCAACTGTTTCTTTTCAATTTGCAGAGAATTCCATGCACAGAGGAAGTAGATTCAACACGATTACATGTAAACATTAAGGCATTTGTCTATTCATTTTGGTTATTTGCTGTGTACCAGATTTGTAATTAAAGTAATTGTAGAGCCACTTTTATCTAGAGCTGTACACACATGGATAGCCTTCTTGCGAATGGGGGCGTTCACTTCCCTGATCCCATTGAAATCCAAGGTTGGGTCAAACTTTCTTAGGTGAAAATGTTCCCTTCCACAATGAAACCAAGTGGTTTTGCTTCCAGTTATCAGCTGGCAGATCTTTGCTTTTGAATAGGTAGCTTCTTGGCCTAAGTCATGGTTGTTGTGGATGATTCAGGGTCCTTCCAGCAATAGCCGTTTGTTGTTGACTTTCCAGGCAAAGATGATTCTGATGCTCAGAAGCCCATACAAGTAGTTCACCTCTTGGGCATTATGAATCCAGCTGAAAAAGTAATAAAGGTAGTTTTATTTTAATTCTAGGGGCACGTATTGCTGGTTATCACCAACTGAGAAGGAATGAAGAATCGGTCCTCTGTTGTTTACTGTCTTCTAAAAAAATTGCATAATTATCCTGGTGGGTCTTGTTTACTTTGTGGTCTTAGGGCACATTTCAGTGAACAGTACTCATGCTCTCCTTCAACAACAACCTGGTCAATGAGAGCACCCCCAAGGAAACTGTTCATTTGTGTTGGGCAGGGTCCATTTAGAACTACCCTCAGCCTTGCTGGATGGAGAGTCAGGGTTGTGGTCTCCCTCCTGAAACCTTCTTAAGGGCATCCTAACTTCTTTTGTGAGGATATCTCTAGAGAGAGAGAGCAGACTATTTCTCCCTGTTTCTCCACCAGTTCTTTCTCTAGAGCAGGGCTTCTCAACAGCGATACCATTCACATTGGGACCCCGGATCATTCCTTGTTGCAGTGGGCTGTCTTCTGTATTTCAGGAGGTTTAGCAGCCTTCTGGGCTGTACCCACAAGCATCCCCCTGTCATGACAGTCAAAGAAGTCTCCAGACCCCAGGGGATAGGGAGTCAGTCAAATTGCCCCTGATTCAAAACCACTCCTTCAGAGAAAGCAGTGTTTTTCAATCTAGCCGCAGATTACAATCACTGTGGTAGCTTTGCAAAATTACCAGTGCATGGGCCCCACTTCCACATGCATATTGAATTGGTCTGCCCTGTGTCTGGGTACATTGCAAGAAGAGCTTCTCAGGTGATTCTAATGAGTAGACCAGGTGAAAACCATTGCCCTGGGCGAGTGTGTGTTGTATAAGAGGGGTGTGTGAGTGTGAGTGTGGGAGTCAAAGTGAGAATGAGAGAGAGAGAGAAGTGATGAAGAGCTCAAGCTTTTTGGGAATAAGAAAGTTAACATCTTTCCTTCCTTTGTTGAATTCGGGGATTGAGAAGGACTGACCCCAGCCGGTT